TTTGTAAAGTACTGATTTGCTCTTCACCAGCCTTCTATTGAATATGAAAAAAAAAAAAAAAACTTCACCAAAGTATAAGCTCTCAATTCTTAGTCTGGTTCTCTCACAATTTATTCCAGTGTTGTGAGAAGGACAGAGAAAAGAATCAAACATCCCATCAGCAACTAACTGTATTTTAATTCATTCCACATATACTTTACAAACTAAAATCCTGGCAGAAATCAGTTAAGACTACTTATAAATCTGTATACAGTGTAAAAATACTATTTTGGATAATACTGAGTTCCCTCCATCCCTCTACATTAGAAAACAGACAATCTGAGAGACTAATCTTCTTTAACACCACCATAAAACCTATCAGAACTAGGCTTTCCCTGGTGGCAAAACAGGTGAGAGCACAGCACTGCAAGCTAGCCACAGCCACTTCGGTGCAGTGCCTGACTGATCACCTGCCCCACAGGTGATCCACATGGCACAGCAGACCTCTTGTCTTGTGGCTGCTCCCCTCTACTGCTCCCCACTCTGTCTCTGGTGAATCCCCTCACCGCCCCTGCATCTCTGGCCTGTACCCCAGTTCTGTATGCATAAATAAATAAATCTTTTTTTTTTTAAGCCTATCACAGTTAAATTTCAAGAGAGAAAATTTGGTACATCAAGGATTTCTTCGTATCTTTTGGCTGTTCTTTTCAGATCATCTTCCTTTTCTGCAATTTTTTTATGTAACTGATTTGTCTCTTCTTGATGACTTTCCAAAAGTTCAGTCTCTACTTCTTGAGCTTTATCTAAAAAAAAATGGATACACATAAGAAAACACATTAGTCTAATAAAAAATGGATACACATAAGAAAACACATTAGGCAAGAATACCTACATAGGAAACCTATTTCAAATCAAATTTGAATTTTAAAAACTGATTAAATGTACCCTCTCAGGGAGCACAAGTGTCTTCATAAGCGATTAAATACCTAACAGTTTCAAGTTCTCTTACCTACTCCTCTGCTCCTTAAGGCTTTGGTCTCCGTAAGGAAAGCCAGGCAGCAGAGGTTCCCTTAGAAAACTGTCTTGGGCAAGAATCTTTTCTTCTTCAGTTTAATTACTTGAAGTATTTAGTACAGAGTGAAAAAGGATAAGTTTAAATTATACCTCTCTGCTGATTCTGATTTGTTATTTATTGAATTTTAAATTATATTTACCTATGGTTTCTTTTATTGTCATTTCCAATTCTTGTTCCTTTTGTGCCAGCTGTGTGTTAAACTCCCTCATCAGCTGTTTTAATGTGGAATTGTGCTTCAACTCAAGATCTTCCTGCTCCTGTCTAATTAACCAAAATATAAAGAGTTAACTGTTATCATACAAATTACAACCTGCAAAGAATTACCTGGTGCTCAAAAATGGTGTAGATAGTATGATCTCACTGGGAAAAAACATTTTTAAGGGAGGGAAGGCGTGGGGGAGGTTTGTGTGTGTGTCCAGAAGTATAAAAAATTTCTGAAGTGACGTAAGCTCTACTTACATCATTACTTCTAGGCAATGGTCTTTTTTTTTTATTTAAAAATTTTCACCATCCATATCTGTCTTATATAATAATGTAATACTAATACCAGTATTAAATCAGTATTAATGATTTAATACAAAAGTAATAAAAGTCCAAAAACTAATAATATAAGAAAAAAAAGTACATTTAAAAACTAAATTTAATAATTTGTACCTATAAAAACAATTTTAAAATATTTTGCTATTTACCAAAAAATTTAATAAAAATAATAAAACATGAAAGTATGACATAGGTATGTATATACAAGAAAAGGTTTCCCCTCATAAATAAGTGGAATAACACTACCTTGGGCTAAATTTTTTTTCTTCCTCATTATTAAACACATTAGATTTATGTTTAATATTCTACACAGGTGAACTTAACTATTTTTATTACATAAAAAAATGTAGGAAGTACATAAAGGGCTTGGTTAAGGAGGACTGCCTTAAAAATACTCATATTGAAAATAAACTTACTTGATTTTCTCTTCCATTTCTTGTTCATATTCTTTCCTTACTATATCCAACTCTTGCTGATGTTCCTTCCGCAACATTCGAATATCTTTCTGCAATTTAATAATTTCCTTGCCCAGCTTCTGCTTCTCCCGCTCTGCTCCTGCTAATTTAAACTCAAGGTCACTGTGCTCAGCCTCCGTGCTCCTAAGCAATTTGGGTTGGCCCGCATGTGATTTGGGCTTTTCCTCAGTACTTTCTCCTAAAACCTCTGTGGGTTTACTTTTTCCATCCATCTGCTGTTGTGAAGCCTGTAATTTTTCATATTTTAAGGACAATTCTTCCATTTCAACTCTATGTGCTTCCTTCTCTGTTATTAAGCAGGAGTCCAATTCTTTTACCTTTTGCTCCAAGATCTGACAAGTTAGTTCCTTCTCCTGGAGGGTTTTCTGGACATCATCAATCATGTTTTCCATGTTTTGCTTTGTCCCCATGTCATTCTTACCTCCCTCTTCTTCCACATGCTGGGATGCTATCAAGGAATATTTCTTGTTTTTTAATTCAAGTTCTTCTTGAAGATGATTTATCATAACTTGATCCTCATGTTGCTTTGCTTGGGCATTTTCGATCTTAATTAAAAGCTCCTGGTATTTGCTCTGCAAATCAGAATGAGAAGACATTGTCTCTATTCTTTCCTGCTCTAGCTTCTGCAACAGTTTTTCTTTTTCAATTAAATTTCTTTGTAAAGTACTGATTTGCTCTTCACCAGCCTTCTGCTCACAGCCTTGAGAATCTGCTTCTTGCTCAGTACAAGCTGCCAGATTTTTTGCAAATCTGGGTACAACTGATGCTTCTGATTGTGGTAAACTCTCTATTGACTTAAGTTTTTCTTCCAAGGTATGAATTTCTGTCTCTCTTTCTCTTAGTTTTGTATTTAGCACACTCAAATGGTTTTCGGTGTCTTTTTTATACTGCTGTTCTTTCTCTTCCATTTGAGACAACAACTGTTTCTTGATAGCAGCAATTTTTTGTTCAGCTTTCTTCTTCAGCTCTGCTAATTTTGCAGCACTTTCTGATTCAAGTCTATCTTCCAATGCCTTTAATTCATCTTCTTTGCTTTTCATACTGGAAGTCACAACTTTCAATTCTTTCTTCTTAGTTTCAAGTTCAGATTTCATGGATGACACTTGCTTTTCAAGTCCTAAAACTTTTTCTTCAGCTTCTTTAGCCCTATTATCCTTTTCTTCCACTAGCTCTTGAATATGTTGAAGTTTCTGAACCATTTCATTCTGTTCAGTATCCTTTTGTTGGTCATAATTTTGAAGAATTTCACTTAAGGACTCAATTTCAACTGCTTTCTGAGAAACTTGCTCTTCTAATTCCATAATTCTTGCTGTTTGCATTTTTAACTCAGTCTCTAAATCACACTCCTTTTTCTCCATTTTGTTCTTCTTATCTTCCATCTCAACCTTTATACATTCAAATCTTTTATTTTGCTGATCACAGTTTTCCTTCAGTAAAATTATTTCTTCATCCTTTTCACTGACTTCCTTTATTTTTAACTCAAGCTGCATCTGCAAATCTTTAATAGTATTTTGATAGTTTGTGAACTTTGACTGTGCTTTCTTCTTCCATTCTGAGAATTTATTGGACAAGTGATCTTCCTCTTTAAGAGCAGACATTTTCTCTTTACTCAGAGTTTCAATCTTCAAAGATAAATCTTGCACCTGATCCAGCAATGCACGTTGTTCTTCATCATGTTGCTTCCTTAGTGATGAAATGGCTGCTTCTTTTTCAGTTAGGCTGATACTGTTCTGAAGCTGAGCATTCAAATCAGTCAGTTGTTTATTCAGACTGCCAATCTCAGATTTTTTTTCTTTAAGCTCTTCTTTCATCAGTGTGACAGCATTGATGTTTTCTGATAATTCTTTCTTCAACTGTGTGATACAAGACTCTTTTTCAGAGGCAGCCTGCTGCTGATTACCTCCTTCCCTCTGTAAGGCTTCTTTCTCTGTTACAAGACCTTCAATATCAGCCTTCATGCTCTTAATTTGATTTTCTTTTTCTTCTAACTGATGGGTAGCCTGCTGAAAAGAACTACTTAGAGTATTTCGCTCTTCTGTTAGCTGTCTAAGTTGTTCTTCTAATTCAGAAACTTTGCAAGTTTTAATTAGTAGTACCTCCTTTACTTTAGTTGTGTGATGTTGACAATGGGAAATTCTAGAGAAAATGGCATTAATTTTACTACTGCTAATGTTGATTAGTTCATTTGTTTTAGCTTGCAATAAAGCTTCAGTTTTCTTAGAGTACATATCTAGCTGAAATGCTAGTTCCTCAGATAGTGTTTTGAATTCCAAGCTTTTATCTTCTAGGTTTTTCCTATTTTTCTCATGTGAAGATTTCAAACTCTGGAATTCTTCATCTGTGGTTTTCAACTTGTCAGTCAAGTCAGAAACCTTAAGCTTCTCTTTTTCTGCTAGCATCTGTAAATCAACTATTTGCTGTTGAGAAAAAGCATTTTCCTTCAAAGCATTATTCAAGTTAACCTCCAGCTTTTCCAGTTGTGTTTTCAGTTTAGTTTCATTTTCTGAGAGAGAATTCACATGAGCAGATTTCAAGTTTAACTGTTGCTGTAATTCCTTCAATACTGCATTCTGCTTAGTGGCTTCTTCCTTCAACCACTCTATTTCCTTGTTCATCTCTTCTTTTTCACACCCAAATACAATGATCTTTTGCTTCAGCTCTGCTACATCTTGCTCTTTCTCCTGTAACTGAATTTCGTGTTTCTCTTGAAGTTCCTCGGCCTGCTGCGTAAGTTTCTTTTCCCAGACTAATACAGTATCATTAAGTTCTCGCTTATGTACCTCATTAAGGCTCTCTATTTGCTCCTTTTGGTTTGTTTCCAGTCTCGACACTGCATCATCGATTCCATCTGAGCTAGCCTGTGTCATTTCCAAAATTTTGGCATTGAACTGTCTTTCTTTCTGATTAAGCTCCAGAACAGTATTTTCAAGCTCTTTTTTAAGTTTGGCTTCCTGATCCAACAATTTTTTCTTCAGTGTTTCTTGCATCTCCTTTGCTTTCTGCTTAAATTTTTCCATCTTTTTTTCTTGATTTTTAAATTTGGTTTCATATTCCTCATGTAACATACTAATACTGCCCTCCTTTGCTGATAATTTCTGTTTGAGTATTTCAATTTCTTTGCTCTGTTCTTCTTTCATCTGTAAAATTACATTTTCTTTTTCCATCAAGATTTGTTTTGTCTTTTCCTGCTCTACATTACTACCTTTAAGTTGGGACTCATAAAGTTGGGTTAGAGATTTTATCTTTTCCTCCATTTCATTATTCTGGTTTTCAAGTTGCTGCATTAAGTCCTGTATCTTAATTTTATGAGACTCTAACTCAGTACAAACATCTTTCCTTTGCATTTCAACTTCAGCTACCTGTTTGGTAAGAAGAATTCTTTCTGTTTCCAAATCCAACAACTTCTGCTGCAATTGGGTCAGCTGATCTTCATATGCTTTTGCCTGCTCATGTGTGGTACTCTGGTATGACTGAAAATGATCCAGCTTTACAGAGGCCTGCTGGAGTTCCCCTTCAGACCTTTTAATATCTGCCTCTAACTTTTCCACATAGGCTTCACGTTCTTTCAAATGCTTATCTTTTTCCTTCAGAAGAAGACCAAGTTGACTAATTTCATCTTTTAATGCCTTCTCAGTTCTCTGGATAGACATCTCTTGTTCTTTAATGATATTATCAACTTGCTGCTGGTGGTGATTTTTCTGTTCATCCAGTTTGGCTTCTAACTCCTGCTTCACTTTATCAGCTTGATCCTTTAGAACAGAAAGTTCCTCTTCTAATCTGTCACGGGTTTTTAATACTTCTGACAGTTCAGAAGACAATGATTCCAGTTCTGTTTGTTTCACATCAAGCTTTTCTAATGTTTTTTCATTCATTTCTTCTATGTGGGCCTGGAAAAGAATCTCTTTGTCTTTCAAAAGTGTTTCTTTTTCCCGTTCATGTTTTTCTCTTAGCTTTTCCATTTCAGTCTGATACTGTTGCTTTAAGTCTTGGAATTTCTCAGCCCAAAGGTTATCCTGCTGATTTTGCAAGTCTTCTAATTCTGTCTTGTGTTTTTCAACCATGACTGTAAGTTCTTCATTATATTTATTTTTTTCAGCTTCCAAGTGAATAGCCAAATCCTCTGAATAATGTTTGCTTTCTTGCAAACTTTTTTCCAAAGAACTTTCTAATTCAAGGATTCTCTGTTAATGAAAATGTGTATTTTTTAATTAAAGTATAGATTTGTTTACAAAGAATGACATACATGACATAATAACTACTTACTTAAAGAGTCAAATTTAGAAAAATAATTCTAAATAATATACCGAGCATTAGAAAGGTCAAAGTATCTGTACTCAATTCCTAAAGGAATCTTCTTATATCAAAGATTCTATTTTTAACAACTCAGAATTCAATATTCTTTTGACCTATGTGGGTATCTATTTCAACTACTTGTATTTTCAAGAATATTCTGAATGGACTATCAAAACCAAATAAATCATAAAGTAACAGTAACTATCGGTAAAGAGATGTATGTTTTTTTTTCTTGTGATTTTTTTATGGTTTATAACAGTTTTCTATTACCTTCATAATTTAATTTTGGAAGAAAATATATCTGGTTTTTACACCCTCAAAATTATTATTTCGAGTGATTTTTTTCAAAAAGAAGGAAATTCTACAATTTTTTACCAAAGATTACTGTCATGTAATAAAATACTAATTTTGGATGTGAGACAGAAATGTTGAAAGTCAGAGCTAGGGAGGTGTTACTAAATCCAACCTCTTCATATAACAAGTGAGGAAATTACTTTATGATTAACTTACAAAGCTAGCAAGTGAAAAACTTTGGCCTCCTGGGTACCAATTCCCCTCAACTATGCCACCTTACATAAATGTTGAAAAGGAAATTATGGGTAAGAAATGTGACAGTTTTGCTATCTAAATTAGTGCAAAAAGGTTAAAAAATCTAAACAATATAAGTTTACTCAAAATAGGTCATACATTTCATATTCTGCTAGGGAAGGGCCAAAGGGCTATTAAGCTGTGCACATTTACACACATATATAAATGTGTCCATTTCATACTAAACAAAGTTTAGTTCCTACTAAGCCTTGGGGAAAATTTTAAATGCAAAAGGGCACTGGGGTAACCAAACTGTGATGTAAACAGACTGAATTATGTGTGAAACACTGACATGAGATGAAGCTGGACAAACAGGAAGGTGCCAGGGAAACTGCTACCTACGAAGTGAGGCCATTTCCTAAAGATTAAGGTCAGTAAGCAACGCAATGGGGTGGAACTGTAGCGGAGCCTCAGTGCAAAGAAACAGAGCTGAGTGGCTAACAGAAATACACCCAGCCATAGGCTGAGTATGGAGGAAGGTGGAGCAAACACCAAGCACTCCTCCATCAACAGTTCTTACGATCTAAAAATGAAGTGTGTATATATGGAAATTAACCCCTTAACAAAAAGAATATTATACCAACTGGAGAGAAAACGATTGTTTCAATACAAAAATAATTTCATAGTTCGGCCCTCCCTGGTGGCACAATGGGTTAGGACACAGCACTGCAAGCTAGCCACAGCCAACTCAGTGTGGGTTTGATCCCTGGTCCTGGAGGTGACCCACATGGCACAGCAGACCTCACCTGGCCCGCCTGCTGCTCCCCTCAGCAGTGTACTTTGTCAGTCTGCCTGTTTTGCTCCCCACTTTGTCTCTTGTGAATCTTCTCACCATCCCTGCACCTCTGACCTGTACTCCAGTACTGTATATATAAATAAATAAAATCTTTTTAAAATAAATAAATAAAATAATTTCACACTTGCAGAAACTGAATAGTTTTTAAACTTACAGTTCGGTAAGTCTCTGCTTGTTGCTGAAGATCATGAAGTTTATTTTCACTCTCAGTGAGGATTGCTTTTTTCTGTAACTCTAACTCTTCGAGGGCCAAGGACTCTTGCTGTTCTTTTTCTTGGGTGATCTTCAAATATTCTGATTGGCTTTTTTCCTGTGCCAAAAACAATACCACCTTAGACCCACATAAATCTTCAGCACTCCCATTTCCTAAAAACCACTAATTTCATTTGCTCTGCACCATCTCTCCAAGGTAGCATCTTCACTTCTCTTTTTCTAGACTCCACTCTGCAGAAACAAGGCAGTAATGTGGTCTGGCCAATCTTTACCACAATTACTATAAAGATGAAAAACTCTTTTCCAGTAACCCCTCTATGTCTATTATTTTTCCACTACCAAAACATGTTTACAAAACTCCACAGACTGGTTAAGGGGCATGCAATTGCAGCTATCTCTTCTTTGCATTCCAGATACTTCAACTCTAAATCTAGACACTACATTGAAAGTGTATATGATTTGTGAGAAATACCACATTGTAGTAGGAAACCCCACATGGAGAATCAAATCAGAATCAGAAGATTACATGTGATTATATGGATTAGGTCAAGGAAATATCTACAAAGCCTACATAACACTTTTCAGATGCTCTGGGCTCTTTACTGCCCCATTAATCCTGAAATGCTTCTTTGATTGCTCTTATTATATATTAACACTCATATTAAAAGTGTTTACTGTTTTTAAAAAAGAATCTCTAGAGAACATTTTAAACATTAAGTAGATTTGGCCTGCAATTAAGAATACTAATCTTAACCTACAGCTTTAGAGTTCATGCTGCCAACATCAATATTTTCAGTTCAAATTTTTGTTTTAAACTTTCAAGTTGTACTATTCCAACAAATCTTTCTTATCTAGTCTTTGTTTTTATGTTACTTTATTTTTTAAACCTTATTTAGATTGAAAAGTACTAATGAAATTATCCTACTTAAAGTGAAAACTACTTGGTCATTTTCATTTTTTCCTTCTTTATAGTACATTTCAGACAAAACTTTCTGAACTTGAGCTCTGGCTTATTTAGTCTGGTGAATTTTAAGACATTTTTCCTAAGTTTACAATCACTGGTTCACTGCTTCAACTAGCTATGTTCTCCTTTACTTCCCTAATTATAGCGTACTTCCAGGGTGGTAATAAACAAGTAAACTAGTTAATGGCAGATTGCTCAATTAGTACATTTAATTTTCACACAGCATTAAACTAGCTGTTCTAATAACAGTCTCTTTGTTACTAAGTCCTGCTTTACTTGTATATTCAAAAGCCAGTGTTGCCAGCAGTCCAACATCAAGCTGGAAGCAGGAGTGAGAAGATGACACCTTTATAACACTGCAGAGATTATCTATAATGTAAACAACATAGGTACTTACAAGAGCTACTTTCATTTGCTCCTGAAGTTTCCTTTCGTGGGTCTGAAACTTTTTGGACAGTTCCTGCTCTTTGCTGGCCAGCTTCTCTTCATGATGCTTCTGTAGTTTAGCAATTTGTTCTGAGGATTTCTGAAAATCAGCCAAATAGTTGAAGTGAAACACTCAGAATAAAATACATACAACTACTAAATACATTATTATAGTTAAATCATGAAGGTAATAAATTTTTTAAAGGAAAAACTTCAGAACTTATCTCCCATATAAATCAAAAATTCACCATTTCCTGAAACCTACAGGAAACCATAAAATGCTGTTCATCATTTAAGACAAGGAGAGCTGCTTGTGCACCAGTCAGTTCTATGGCTCCATTTCCACATCTTACACATCCCACCAAACAGAATGGAGAGTCACAGTAGAAAAAATAAGGATACTCTCAGAGAGGTCACTCCACTATGATCAATGGCCCTGGCTGCATCAATCTCAGAATGCCTAGCTTTCCAAGCCCATACCATCTGCTAAATAGCATTGACCTTGTTCTTTCTTAGATAGGGAGACATAATCTCATAAAAATATCAAACCTCCCTAAATAAATCTAATAATCTAATATAATCAAATATAACTACCAAGAGTATGACCCCTCCACTAAGCAAAATAAATACTCAGTCAATACTCTCTGAAAAATAACAATAGGGACGGCTACCATATAGTAGAGCATATTGTAAAGCTAGAGTAATTGTAACAGTGTACTTACCAGGCATGATTAGACAAAACTAAATAGAGTAGCCCAGAGAATTCAGAAAAAAAGACCCGCACTACAATAATTGAGTATATTAAAGATAGCATTGCATGTTAGAGAGGAAAACACAGATTACCAAATAAATTATTTAAAGACTACCCGGTAGCCATCTGAAAATTTTAAGTTGAATCTCCACCTCACTCTTATATGAATTAAATTTCAGTTGGATCAAAGGTTTAGTTATAAAAAAGTAAAAGCAGGGCCCACCCTGGTGGCGCAG